TGATTTTGGTTCTTACCCTCATTTCTTAGTTTGGTGAGTTTGGATGGATGAGCTTTCCAACAAATGGAAAGGTGGTGGTGTTGAACTCCAAATAAGAAAAAGAAGTTTATGAATAAGCAAACAAAAAATGGCCATGCTTTGATTTCTTGGAAAAGAGAAGAAAGATTGAGCATTGTAAAGTAGAGATTTTCCCCCCATTATTGGTGGGTCTAACCTGCCATGGCGTCACAAACAAAAGGAACAACATTTGCTACAAAAGCATTCTTTCATCGTCCATAGTCTTATAACCTTTAGAGTTTAGACCCCACCACACATCCACCCAAACTTGGTCACAAACACAAAGCCATCCAAGGGGACAAAACTGGTGAAGTCAACCAATTCATTCGTTATTTGGGTGTGGATAATATAATTAATGGACTCAAGAATTTATATTTTCACACATTCGGAAAATTGAAACCCCACATGCGAGCTTGACCGCGGTGTGCCCTACACCATATTAATTTAGAAAACACAATTAGTAGAAATAAGGAAGATGATTGATACAACTCAACTATTATTTTTTTCAAGTAGCAAAAGAAAAGGAAAAGGGTTAAATCCTTTTAAAGTTCTTAGCTATGGTGAGGTTTCTCCCTGTCCTTCACTACCGAAACGGATAAGCATGAGCGCGTTACATGTACGTGTGTATTCACTCTAATTAAAGCCTTGTTCTTAATACAAATTCTTCTTTCCATCTTTTCTTAAAATCATACTTTAACAACCGAGAAAGTTGTTGTTATGGTCTAATAGACTAAGAACCTTAAAATGATACTGTCTAACCCTAAATACAATATTCTCTCACTTGTGTCTACAAATTTATAGCAACAGTACTCTCCTTTTAAGGTAAACAAGATCTAAAAACATTTAGAACAAGATTCAAAAAGTGTGAATTAGTTGTGAAAGATAAATTACATAGAAGCTTAGTTCTTGGTAAACGAAAAGTAGTATATGTGGGTGATTTGGATGCCTCCACGTACAATAGAAGAATTGTCTTTCTTTTCTCTGGGGTTGGTTTTAGATTTCATGAAGGAGGTATTCTCATGATAAAGATTTTTTTTTGAAGGTGGGGGCAGAGATGTAAAAGAAAAGAGTGAGAATTGAACACATTGTTCAGAATTTGTAGGCATAATTCACAAAATCTATTATTTCATTTCCTTTTCTTAGCATTATGTTGGTCATAACGGTCCCATGTTCACTTTAGACCATATTCACAAGATTTTGTGATGATTCCTCGACCTGTCTGTTTTCTTTCTTTCTTCCTTCTTTTTTCTGTCTCTATCTCTCCAAAGATTCCATATGGGGTGAATTTGTAGATCTTCTAACCTCATGGACGGAGTGATCGGTGGACACCTTTTCTCATCTTCTTTCGTGTTGGTATCTCTCTCACTCACTCACTCACACACCCTTTCTCAAATTATATTTCCATGCATCTTTCTTTTTTTCCGTGTCAGGTTGATATCCCAGAATCCAGGTCTTTCAGATTATGTTACCAAAGAAAAAAAGAGGCAATCTCATCAATCACTTTAATTAGTCCTTTCTTAAAATTGAAAATGCAGCCCCATGTTCGTAATTTTTCTTTTTCCTTTTCATCCTGTTCTTTCGTTGTTGGGGGTCCTCCTGACAACTTTGATCAACACTGTGTGATCAAAAAGATATCAAGCAAAAGTGCCACTTTTGCCATTTCTTTGACCAAAACACTAATTTCAAAAGAGATCCTAAGAGATCGCCTTGATTAATTCCAGGGAACAAAAAGAACTAATGGGGATTTGTTATCGATTTTACTTGAGCAAAATTAAGGCAATAGCAGAATCTAATAATCCAAATTAAGCTTTATTTGGAAACATTGAGACAAAATTGGGTAACCCGCCGCAGGTAACATATGCAATTAATAATTTTTCTTCATTGACGTCACTAACACACGACTTTCAACAGATATGTAACAGTGAGAGTGAAAACAACCAGTACCTAGAAGGGTCAACGAAGTTGTCAATTTCTCTGATTTCTGTTTGGAAAATTTCAAATGGTTCACAGAAACGTGACGCTTAACAGTTCATCACAGAATGCAGCAGCTAATGGGACCTTCAATCAATGGCATTCAAAGTCCAATTTTGAAATTATTTGACATTCCATGCCAAATACCAACATTCAAAGTTCCTTTCCCTGCGTTTGTCTAGAAAACAACACCCACCAGTTTTTTTTTGTTTTTATAACGAAAATATTGTAATATTAAAAGTTGGGGATATCAAAGATGAAACTCCTAACTATTTGACAATAAGAAAGGTTTTCATAATATCTTGCACCAATTATGCCTAAAACTTATGCAAATGAACGGTGTCATCATAGAAAACACGAATTCATGAAAAGAGAGTGCAAAGAACACATGCGTGGCTTCAAGGAGGATTGGTTCATCGCACCTATAAATATATATTTATACGCTGAACTTTTCCAGTAGCATGAATGTGCATGTGGAATGACACCATATTCATATTCAATATATTACAAATGTGTATAAAATATAAAATAAGAAAATTTTGAGAAAGTATTAATTGAATCAAAGCTAATTAAAATATTAATTTAATAAAAGATGGTATTCCTACTTAAATTTCTGACTGCCCAAAGGAAAAGGAGAGTCCAATATGAAAAGAGAATACGAAGTAAATGGTAAGTGGGCTTAGATTTGGAGAAGGTTATGGACATTTTATCATCAAATTAAAGATATTTTACTTGTAAAAAGTAATACACAATGAATACTTAAAAAGGAAGGTTATCTTTTAATACATATTTGTGAGGATCTTGCATTGAAATTTGCACTAGATTTCATGTTCTCTTAAATAGCATAAATTTTGAGGTGAGGGGGAAACTTGTTGGTTTATAGAGAAATTGGTGCCTTAACTGTTTCCCCAATTTCAACCTCTTTGAAATTAACAGTTTAACCTGTTTTTATAGTATAAATTAGCCCTGAGACTTGAATTCCTATGCTCAATTTTTATTTGGTTTTGTTTAAGTTATTTTTGAAAATATTAATTAAAATTTATAATAATTAAAATTTATTTTCTAAAAGAATTATTATATTTGATTTTATTTTTTATGAATTTAAATGTTTAAAAATAATATAATAAATAATATTTTGTTTTTAAATTATTAAGTGGCTTAGTTCACATAATTTATAGACCCACAATTGTACAAAATAGACTAAACTTCCGTTTGGGTATCAGACAGCAAGTGATGGAACACAGATTTGTAGGGAAAGTTTATTTTTCTATACAGTAAATTTAAGTTTCTAAAAAAAAATCTTTCTTCTCATTTATATGATAGTTAAATATATAATATATAATCAATTATTTTAATTGAGATAATGAATTATGTAATAATTTAAAATAAAATAAATAATAATAAATAATATTAAAATAATAAATAAAAATATAAAAAATAAATAAATAATTTTTATTTTTATTTATTTTCTCTCTTTTTTCTCATCTTTTTTATTTTTTTTATTCGAATAATTTTGTTTTACACTTTTTTTCACTTAATTAAATTCACTCACTAATCTAAACATACACAAAAATAATTAACCTACAAATCTTTTGTGAGTTGGCCCATCACCTCTATCTTTTATGGAGTAAAATAAAAACGACTAACGTACCCTACCATTCCAACATAAGACGTGTAAAAAAGAAAAACAAAATTAGAACAATATTTTAAATTAAAGTATATATGTGCATAATTTTGTTTATAAATTTTCTTATGCAAATTTAAAAAAAAGTTTTATTTTACTCGTATAAAAGTATTTGCTAAGTATAATACTTTGATATTTTTGAATTGTTGGTTCTTGTTCTTACTTATTGTTAGTTTAATACTAAAATTTAAAAAAATATATAATTAAGGTAAGAGAATATTTTTAAATAAAGATAATTATAATTTTCAATGATCGTCAAATTATTTATTTTAATATATAATTAAAATATAAGTTTTTTTTAGAAGTTCTTTTCGTAAAGTTTGTCTAACTAAACCTAATATCAACCTGATATTATTGAGTATTTAGGTTCAGTTTATTTGTCCTGTTACGAACTATAGTTAGTTCAATTTCTAGCATTAACCTAACCATAGTTAATGATAAAGACAGTTAAAAAATATCATAGATTTAAAACTACACAAACATTTTTTTTATCAAGGATTAAAAGCATATAGAATCATATTTATCAAGACTATTTTTTTTTTAAATTCATCTTGTATATAAATCAATTTTAAGTTATACAAAATCTTATTTTATTTCTTCTTGTTATTTTTTTCTTCTAGGATGTTTTTATCGAAACGTTAGTTCAAATAAATATTTTTTTTTCTGACACAGTTTGGGTAAGAAAAAAACCCAGCTAGAATCAAATATTGCAAGACGGGACAATTGAGTGCACAGGTGCACCACCAATGCCATATCAGATGTCATGGATCTCATCTTAGTAGCCTTGATGAGAACCAATTTGAAAACACAACCAAAATCAAAATCAAAATCAAAGCACAAGTGTAATGTCAGAAAAATTTTGAACTGCTATCTAAACAGCCTCAAAAATCAAATAAGCAAGATAATTTCCATTTTGAAACCAAAGCACTACCTTGTTGTCATCAATGCTACAATTTATTGCCTCCTATTCAGATTTGACAAATGTAAAGCATTCAAAAATCAGAATGAAAGACAAGGAAAAAATGTGTTCATACTAATAACAGTAATATAACAACCCTGGTCGAAAAATGCTGTTCTCCCTATGCCTCTTCTTTAGCATGGTACAGACACTTGCAGTAATGAAACACCACTTGTACCTCAACCGTTGTCTGTTTCACAAGAACTTGTCTACATTGTTTTCGGTTTTCCCGGACACAGATCATTGCAAGCTTAATAGTGGTAGAGGCCCTCCAAATTGACAATAGTAAAAACAAAAAACAAAAATACGGGAACAATGGCATCCTCTTGTTTACAACAGCAAAACTTTACCAACTAACAAGAACATTGAGCAGTGAATCAAACCAAATTTAGAAATCAAATTAGCACCATCAGAAGTCTCAGGAACAAAGCTTCCTTCGGGAGTGTTTGTGGTCAGTACGACTACAATCCAGTTATCGTCTGAACCAATTCCAACTCCTGTAAACTTGGAGTCATTGAGATTACCCGAGTAAAGAGATTGTGTGAAATTTGTGAGGACAACGCTTGGAGCCAGGCCAGGAACACAGGCAGGCATTACAGCTCCATCCCTTGTGTTAGAAATATTCAAGTGACATTTATTTAAAAGGTCTGGGTAATTGGAGAACCGAGGCTCTGTACCTGGAACTGTGTTAGCACCTGTGCTATTTGTACAAGGTTGATCCTTGAACTGGTCAACCATTTCATCAGCAAAACATTTTGCATTTTCATTCTTTGTTAGAGAAGCCAAGTTTAATGATTTCCTATAATTGTTGATTTGCTGATAAAGATTATCTTCCTCGTCTGCAAGTGGATCAAGGTTAGTGCAATCTCAAAATATAAACTTCAATTTGAGCATGTTTGCAACGAAAGGAGACATAGGACGATAGGAGGGGTTTATCATGAAACATTGCAAATCTAACTTCGTTTACTATTTGATATATTGTGCTATGCATGACCGTGAGTTCCATTCAAATGTATATGAAATATAGCTCTTCGATTTACAAGTTATTTTAATTCCTAAGTGGAAGAGGATTCCACGACCTTCAGTAGCAACACAGAATACTTTACCAACAAAGATTGATGAAAAACCTGAACACTAGTAACATTGAACCGTATGGTAGTAAACTATCAGGTTACACAATGACCATCTAGTCAACCTGCTGATACATAATTTGGAAAATAAAAATTCAATTCATTCTGCATTGTCAAGCAATGGCATTATTATGCAATTTCAAATATCCGATTCCTCATTCAGTGGGTATCAACTCAAATAAGCAGATCTTTTCAAGATTAGTATTTAAAAGAATATATAAACCATCCCCAAAGATTCGTGATGTCAGATCAATCCTTCCCCAATACAGATCTAACTTAGATTGTCCACTGAGAAACTCAAGCACAAGAAAAAAAGGACATAAAAAGACCAATTACCCAGAGAGAAAACTACTTAAACTCATAAACTTGGTGAGAGTTAAGCACATTCAACAAAAGACAGTGACAGAATTAATCATGTAATAGAACATTTGAGGATAACAAGTGAAACCCATTTGAGGGTAAGCAGAATAAGGTGATTCAAGAAAAACAAGAATTGGAAAAAATTAATAAAGCGCTCAGAGCACTGACCGTGGTCGCATTTTACTATGACAAAAAGGAGGAGGGTGAAAAGCAGAGAGAAGCGGGATAACGCCATTTTTTGTAGTTTGAAGCGCATGGAGAGAGAGAGAGAGTGTTTTGAAATGGAAGGAAGATGATAGAGAAAGAAAGAATCCTTTCTGTTCCGTGCTTAAGTAAAAGCGTATTTATACTCTGTAAACAGCAAAGTATAATTTTCCTACATTTTTCACAAATTAATAAATAAATATATTTTTTTTATTATTGGTACAAAGCGGTGACAACTAGAAATCTTATAACTTTTAAAATAATTCATTTTTATTAATATAATAATTTATTAAATAATTTAATACAAATAAATTAAAATTATTATTATAATATTAAAGGAAAGTTATTTATAAAAATTTAGATGGTGAAATTATCATTTTTCTTTGTTACAGTGTTATTAACATTAGTGGAAACACAATGAAGTCCCTAAACAGCGATAATTTAATAAATTGACATCATAAAAAATGTTTGTGTAACACAATGAAAAACCTTTAGTATAATTCATTACGCTTTTACAATCTCATTTAATTTTTATTATAGTTTACAATAAACTCATTTAATCATATTTTTATTTAATATAGTAAATATTTTAATTTTATTATTACTTGATATGATTAAAATAACAGATATTTAATAACTTTAATTCATTTAATTGAATCAAGTGAATGAGTTATTATAAATTTGTTAGGTTTAATTAAAAAAATATTAGATATATTTTGATTACGATATTCATAAATTGAATTACGAATTATTCTATTTGTTTCAATTATATATATATATATATATATATATATATATATATAATCATGTTACATAATTTAAAATTGATTTCCATAAGCACTACACCATTTACTAAAATATAGTAGCATAAATTATGAAAATATTATTATATTTTATAATAAATATTTAAAAATAAATAATAATATATACATAGACATCTTTTATTTTTAAGCATTAAAATAATATATATAATTTGTATTTCTCCTTTTATCAAATTATATAGTTTATAATATCTATACTATCTACCTATCAGTATTTGAGGGGTTGATCTATATTTTTATTATAAATAATGATTACGGACATATAAACACACATTAACTATTTTATTTTTTTAGATGGATAAATGTATCATAAGAAAAGGTGGACAAACTTTTATAATTAAGTAATATTAAATGTTTTAATTTTCTTTTAAATTGTTCTCATTAATCGGTCAATCAGAAAAATTAAATACATTTTTATCATGATAAAAAAATCCCAAATTATTCACATAAATTGAAACAAGGTTTAAATAATTCCTTAAAAAAAATCTTAATATATAAACATCACATTAAATTTAACTTATCTATATTGAAATGACTAAAATTGTTATAATAAAAAGTACTATATTTATATTCAAGTATAATATTATATCTTTTATTTTTAATATAACAAAATGTTAAGCCTTTTCTTTTAAAATAATTTATTATTATGCATGGAAGTCGCAGAGAAAAAAATACAGAAATAAATTTCTCATTAACATATAAATGTCATTATTTATACAAAACAGAACAAGCTAACTAATTCTACCGGAAATAAAAGCTGTAACAGTATAATATTTATCATAATAAAAATTTTCAAATCATATATAAACTAAAAATAGTATTTTTGTACAAGTGTGTGAGATTCTGTGTATATATATATATATATATATATATATATATATACAGATAAATATAAAGTATTAAAAAGAGAATTAAGTCAAAAAATTGATAAAAAAAAGTGTTGAGTAGCGATTGTTTATCTACAAGGATGACACCATTGAAAGTCCACTCTTGAAGATCCTACAACACATGTCGATTTAATATAAGAAAAAAATATAAAATGAAAAAAAAGTAAGTCAATAAATTTAATAAAAAATATTTATTATGATTAAGTGGAGCCGGTCTTTATTATTATTTTTTTAAGAGAAGTGGGTCCATTTTTGGCCAAATTTGGGTTTTGAAGGGTGAAGTTATTGGATCTTGAAATAAAAAGTTGGACTTAACCTAGGATACTATACGACACTAGGTCACAAACCTCACCCTTGAAACAACGTAGAAATAGGTTGTCGCACCACGCACAGAGCCGTCGCACCCACAAATCCCTTGACGCGACGGGGATGCCGGTTGTCGCAACAACACGACGGACACTCCAGAGCACCAACGCAACAAAGACCCCCAGCTCCCACGCGACGGCCACATAGTATCCGTTCGACAGAGATGTTGTACCTTCACGATAGAAATGTCCTGCCACCCGTGTGTGATGGAGATGTTCTGCCCATGCCACTCTCGATCTTTAACGACGATGTCCTAAAAGTGACACGAATCGGAAAGGTTGGTGAAGATCGTACGATCTCACGCGTTCTTCTACCTTTTATACTATCTCTATGTGTATGTTGTTGAATCACCGTTTCCTTTTTAAAAGCGTAACAAGGAGATATTTAATTTTAAATTTCAGGACACGCACAACCAAGTTGGTATTGCACACAGTGGTGGCTCGATTACATAGTTGAAGCTTCTTGATTCAAAAAATGGGGTTTTCCAATATATGAGGTAAAACAAACTGTAGAAGTTCTAATATAAGGTCTTCTGTGTTTATAAAAACTGAAACTTATTTAAAAATGAGATGGAAAGGAGAACCAAACAAGTAATTACTCCACCCTCATATATGTATAATCCATGCTCGTAAGCTAGCTATTCAGGCAAGAGAACCTAAAACTCAATATTTTATCAAACATTATCTACTACATATGTGGCACATTGATATCTTATAATGCAGAAGTTTATATTAGGTTATTTGTTTAACTTGCACAGCTTTTCCTGACACATTTAAAATTCCATAAAATTGCGAAGGATGATATAAGTTCCACATCATCTAATATTAGGTGTTTGATAGTGTATTTATATAATTGTTTTTCCGGATAACTAGTCACTGAGGATTTGGGTTCCCAAACGGCTGCCTGTTGAGAGAAGGGTTGCGTTGGTCTATTTATTGTTTGGGTCTATTTATGGTTTGGTTCTCCCTCTTCAGTGGCTAGTTTTTTTTTTTTTTTTTTTTTTTTTTTTCACTTTCAGCTACATTATTTTCAAAGTCTATAGTTTCTCTTCCTTTTTGGTAATTCTTTCATGTACGGTTGTCTCTTCACTTAAAAGACATATAATTCTGATTTGTTTTGGAGAATGCTATCATATAGACAAGTTGTAAATATCTTTTTCCATGAATGTCTTCCTATAGACCAATGGCATGAATAGACTTTTTATGATCTTTCCATCTAACTTAGATTCAATGATATCCGTCTGGAATTTATGATTTATTCCATGATGCAAGTATATGTACACATCTTGTATTTTACCATCAAGGCCAGAAATCTCAGATTCTTTCAGATAGAAAGCAATGGCTGCAGCATCTTGTTTTAATTTTAAACAAAAAAATGCATTTCATTTTTGGATTTTCTTAGAATATACAAGACCCTCTTATTGAATGAGAAACTAGTCTCCTAATTCATTTGATTACATCATCTAATATAAGGTAATTGATAGTGTATTTATATAATTGTTTTTCCATCTAGGATATCTATACATTGAGTATTTGGGTTCCCAAACGGTTGCCTGCTGAGAGGAGGATTGGGTTGTTCTATTTATTGTTTGGTTCTCCCTCCTCATTGGCTAGTTTTTTTTTCTTTCCCTTTCACTTTTTGGTAATCATTTCATATACAGTTGTCTCTTCTCTTACAAAAGACATATAATCCTGATTTGTTTTGAAGAATTATGTCATTTACAAGTTGCTAATATCCTTTTCCATACTGATGAATGTCTTCTGATAGATCTCTTTCACTTCCAGTTACATTGTTTTCAAAGCTTCCTTATATTGTCACTTTTTGGTAATCCTTTCATCTTGATTTGTTTTGTTTTGAAGAATTTCCATAGATCAATGGCATGAATAGACTTTTTATGAGCTTTCTATCTCAGTTAGATTCAATAATATCCATCTGGAATTTATGATTTATTCCATAGTGTAAAGGATCCTTCAAATTACTGAGCAAGTACATGTACACATCTTGTATTTTACCATCAGGGCTGGAAATCAGATTTGGTCTCCTAGCCATTTCTTCATTAAGCAAAAAATAACTCGAAGCTCTGATAAGCACTGGCTGCATTTTAATTTTAAACAACAAAATTGCATTTCATTTTTGGATTTTCTTAGAATATACAAGACCCTTGTATTGAATGAGAAATTAGTCTCCTAATTCATTCGATAGATACAAATTAACATTATTATGAAATGTGCAAGTCCCACAACATCTAATATAAGGTGTTTGATAGTGTATTTATATAATTGTTTTTCCATCTAGGATAACTAGCCACTGAGGATTTGGGTTCCCAAACGGTTGCCTGCTGAGAGAAGGTTGGGGTTGGTCTATTTATTGTTTGGTTCTCCCTCTTCAGTGACTAGTTTTTTATTTTATTTTACTCTAAGCTACATTATTTTCAAAGCTTCTTGTCTTTTCACTTACAAATGATATATAATCCTGATTCTTTTTGAATAATGGTGTCATATAGACAAGTTGCTAATATCCTTTTCCATGCTGATGAATGTCGTCCCATAGATCAACGGCATGAATAGACATTTTGCTATGTGCTTTCTATCTAACTTAGATTCAGTGATATCAATGTGTAATTTATCATTTATGCAATGATGCAAAAAATGCTTGAAATCATTGAGCAAGTACATGTACACATCTTGTATTTTACCATCAGGGCTGGAAATCAGATTTGTTCTCCTAACCATTTCTTTGTTAAGCCAAAAATAACTCAATAAGCAATGGCTGCAGCATCTTGAGTTGTTTTAATTTATTTCATTTTCAGATTTTCTTAAAATATACAAGACCCTCCAATTGAATGCGAAAGTAGTCTCCTAATTTTGGCGTTAGTTCCATCTTGGCATTATTATGAAATGTGCATCATCTAATATAAAGTGTTTGATAGTGTATTTATATAATTGTTTTTCCTTCTAATGTAGCTAGCTGCCGAGGATATGGGTTCCCTAAACGTTGCCTACTAAGAGAAGTGTTGGGTTGCTTTATTTATGGTTTGGTTCTCCCTCCTCAACGGTTAGTTCTTTTTCATTCACTTACAAAAGACATGTAATCCTGATTTATATTGAAAATGGTCTCGTAGAGATGAGTTGCTAAGATCCTTTTCGATGCTGATGAATCTCTTCCCATAGATCAATGGCATGAATAGACTTTTTATGAGCTTTCTATCTCAGTTAGATTCAATGATATCCATCTGGAATTTATGATTTATTCCATGGTGTAAAAGATCCTTCAAATTACTGAGCAAGTACATGTACACATCTTTACCATCAGGGCTGGAAATCAGATGTGGTCTCCTAGCCATTTCTTCGTTAAGCAAAAAATAAGCCAAAGCTCTGATAACCACTGGCTGCATTTTAATTTGAAACAACAAAATTGCATTTCATTTTCGGATTTTCTTAGAATATACAAGACCCTTGTATTGAATGAGAAATTAGTGTCCTAATTCATTCGATAGATACAAATCTGCATTATTATGAAATCTGCAAGTCCCACATCATCTAATATAAGGTGTTTGATAGTGTTTTTATATAATTTTTTTTCCATCTAAGATAACTAGCCGCTGAGGATTTGGGTTCCCAAACGGTTACCTACTGAGAGGAGGGTTGGGTTGTTCTATTTATTGTTTGGTTCTCCCTCATCAGTGGCTAGTTTTGTTTTTTTTCTTTCACTTTCAACTATATTATTTTCAATGCTTCAGTTGTAATCTATAGTATCTCTTCACTTTTTGCTAATCATTTCACATACAGTTGTCTCTTCACTTACAAAAGACATATAATCCTTATTTGTTTTGAAGAATTGTGTCATATACAAGTTGCTAATATCCTTTTCCATGCTGATGAATGTCTTCCCATAGATCTCTTTCTTGTGTTAGTTACATATCGGCATTATTATGAAATGTGCATCATCTAATATAAAGTGTTTGATAGTGTATTTATATAATTGTCTTTTCTACTAATGTAGCTAGCTGCCGAGGATATGGGTTCCCCAAACGTTGCATACTAGGAGAAGTGCTGGGTTGCTTTATTTATTGTTTGGTTCTCCCTCCTCACTGGTTAGTTCTTTTTCTTTCACTTTCAATTACATTATTTTCAAAGCTTCCTTTGTAATCTATAGTATATACTAAAAAAACTAATAAATTAAACATAAAACATATAATTAAATTTGAATATTTTCCTGTGTTAAACAAAATAAAATTGTAATCAGAAGTGAAACTCAAAGTATAAAATTTTGAATTAATTAAAACAAGCAAACAACCTTTTTTTTTTTTTTTTTCTTCCAAGACTTTACCTTCCAAAGGTAACCAACCCCACTAAAAAAATCCGTGTTTTAGTCTTCCTTCATGGCGTTGCCTTTTACTTTCCTCATACCACACCACACCATGTATGTTAACTATAACTTGTACCAACTTTGTTCCATATTTGTTAATAATAACTCTCCAACCACGCCAAATACTACAACCCAGTAGCATTTCTCAGGCAGATGGTATACATGTTTCCATAGAGCATAGGAAAGTTACAATGAATTTTTTCCCTATAGCTTTTTATGATTATAGGGAAGTTACAGATTTTCTTAAAATACATAAGACTCTCCAAGTAACCCCCGTCTTCTCTTTTTGGTAGTCCTTTCATATATAGTTATCTCTTCTTTTACAAAGGACATATAATCCTGATTTGTTTTGAAGAATGGTATCATATGGACAACAACTGCACCCATTACAGAACAAAACCAACTAATGATAGAAATCAACATCATAAAATAACTATGTCTGGATATTTATATTTCCAAAATTCATTACTAAGTTTAGTGATGTTATGGCTATCTTGTTTTAATTTGAAACAATAAAATTGCATTTCATTTCCGGATTTTCTTAAAATATACAAGACCCTCCAATTGAATGAATGATAAACTAGACTCCTAATTCATTCAATGGATACAAATCGGCTTTATTATTTCATGTGCAAGTCCCACATCATCTAATATAAGGTGTTTGATACTGTATTTATATAATTGTTTTTCTTTCTAGGATAACTAGCCATTGAGGATTTGGGTTCCCCAAACGGTTGCCCGCTGAGAGAAGGGTTGCGTCTATTTATTGTTTGGTTCTCCCTCCTCAATGGCTAGTTTTTTTTTTTCTTCCACTTTCAGCTACATTATTTGCAAAGCTTCCTTTGTAGTCTATAGTTTCTCTTCACTTTTTGGTAATCCTTGTTTGGTTCTCCCTGCTCAGTGGCTAGTTTTTTTCTTTTTTTCCTTCCACTTTCAGCTACATTATTTTCAAAGCTTTCTATGTACTATATAGTTTCTCTTCACTTTTTGGTAATCCTTTCATGTACAATTGTCTCTTCACTTACAAAAGACAACTGATTTGTTTTGAAGAATGGTATCATATAGAAGAGTTGCTAATATCCTTTTCCATGCTGATGGATGTTGTCCCATAGATCAATGGCATGAATAGACATTTTATTATGAGCTTTCTATCTAACTTAGAGGGCTGGAAATCAGATTTGTTCGGATAGAAATTTCTTCGTTAACCAAAAAATAACTTAAAGATTTGATAAGCACTGCCTGCAGCATCTTGTTTTAATTTTGAACAACAAAATTGCATTTCATTTTCAGATTTTCTTAGAATATACAAGACCCTCCTATTGAATGAGAAATTAGTGTCCTAATTCATTCGATAGATACAAATCTGTATTATTATGAAATGTGCAAGTCCCACATCATCTAATTTAGGGTGTTTGACAGTGTATTTATATAATTGTTTTTCCATCTAAGATAACTAGCCACTGAGGATTTGGGTTCCCCAAACGGTTGCCTGCTGAGAGGAGGGTTGGGTTGTTCTATTTATTGTTTGGTTCTCCCTCATCAGTGGCTAGTTTTTTATTTTTTTTTCTTTCATTTTCAGCTACATTATTTTCAATGCTTCCGTTGTAATCTATAGTATCTCTTCACTTTTTGGTAATCATTTCACATACAGTTGTCTCTTCACTTACAAAAGACATATAATCCTGATTTGTTTTAAAGAATTGTGTCATATACAAGTTGCTAATATCCTTTTCCATGCTGATGAATGTCTTCCCATAGATCTCTTTCACTTCCAGCTACATTGTTTTCAAAGCTTCCTTTGTAATCTTTAGTATATTGTCACTTTTTGGTAATCCTTTCATCCTGATTTGTTTTGTTTTGTTTTGAAGAATGGTGTCATATAGAGAAGTTGCTAATATCCTTTTCCATGCTGATGAATCTCTTCCCATAGATCATAGGCATGAATAGACTTTTTATGAGCTTTCTATCTAACTTAGATTCAATGATATCGGTCCGGAATTTATGATTTATTCCATGGTGTAAAAGATCCTTCAAATTACTGAGCAAGTACATGTACACATTTTGTATTTTACCATCAGGGCTGGAAATCAGATTTGGTCTCCTAGCCATTTCTTCATTAAGGAAAAACTAACTCAAAGCTCTGATAAGCACTGGCCGGGACTGGCCGTAGCATGTTGTTTTAATTTAAAGCTATAAAATTGCATTTCATTTTAGGATTTTCTTAGAATATACAAGACCATCCTATTGAATGAGAAACTAGTCTCCCAATTCATTCCTTAGATACAAAGCTGTATTATTTAGAAATGTGCAAGTACCACATCATCTAATATAAGGTAATTGATAGTGTATTTATATAAACTTTTTTCCATATAGGATAACTAGCCGCTGAGGATATGGGTTCCCAAACGGTTGCCTGCTGAGAGAAGGGTGGGGTTTGGACTATTTATTGTTTGGTTTGCCCTCCTCACTGGCTAGTTTTTTTTTTTTTTTCTTTTACTCTAAGCTACATTATTTTCAAAGCTTCCTTTGTAATCTATAGTATCTCTTCTCTTTTTGGTAATCCTGTCATATACAGTTGTTTTTCTCTTCACTTACAAATGACATATAATCGTGATTTGTTTTGAAGAATGGTGTCATATAGACAAGTTGCTAATATCCTTTTCCATGCTGATGAATGTCGTCCCGTAGATCAATGACATGAATAGACATTTTATTATGAGCTTTGCTATCTAACTTAGATTCAGTGATATCGACCTGTAATTTATCATTTCTGTGATGATGTAAAAGATCCTTCAAACCATTGAGCAAGTACATGTACACATCTTGTATTTTACCATCAATCAGATTTGTTCTCCTAGGCATTTCTTGGTTAAGCCAAAAATAACTCAATAAGCAATGGCTGCAGCATCTTGAGTTGTTTTAGTTTTGAACAATAAAATTGTATTTCATTTTCAGATTTTCTTAAAATATAAAAGACCCTCCAAGTGAATGAGAAACTAGTCTCCTAATTCTCGCGTTAGTTACATATCGGCATTATTATGAAATGTGCATCATCTAATATAAAGTGTTTGATAGTGTATTTATATAATTGTCTTTTCTACTAATGTAGCTAGCTGCCGAGGATATGGGTTCCCCAAACGTTGCATACTAGGAGAAGTGCTGGGTTGCTTTATTTATTGTTTGGTTCTCCCTCCTCACTGGTTAGTTCTTTTTCTTTCACTTTCAATTACATTATTTTCAAAGCTTCCTTTGTAATCTATAGTATATACTAAAAAAACTAATAAATTAAACATAAAACATATAATTAAATTTGAATATTTTCCTGTGTTAAACAAAATAAAATTGTAATCAGAAGTGAAACTCAAAGTATAAAATTTTGAATTAATTAAAACAAGCAAACAACCTTTTTTTTTTTTTTTTTCTTCCAAGACTTTACCTTCCAAAGGTAACCAACCCCACTAAAAAAATCCGTGTTTTAGTCTTCCTTCATGGCGTTGCCTTTTACTTTCCTCATACCACACCACACCATGTATGTTAACTATAACTTGTACCAACTTTGTTCCATATTTGTTAATAATAACTCTCCAACCACGCCAAATACTACAACCCAGTAGCATTTCTCAGGCAGATGGTATACATGTTTCCATAGAGCATAGGAAAGTTACAATGAATTTTTTCCCTATAGCTTTTGATGATTATAGGGAAGTTACAGATTTTCTTAAAATACATAAGACTCTCCAAGTAACCCCCGTCTTCTCTTTTTGGTAGTCCTTTCATATATAGTTATCTCTTCTTTTACAAAGGACATATAATCCTGATTTGTTTTGAAGAATGGTATCATATGGATAACAACTGCACCCATTACAGAACAAAACCAACTAATGATAGAAATCAACATCATAAAATAACTATGTCCGGATATTTATATTTCCAAAATTCATTACTAAGTTTAGTGATGTTATGGCTATCTTGTTTTAATTTGAAACAATAAAATTGCATTTCATTTCCGGATTTTCTTAAAATATACAAGACCCTCCAATTGAATGAATGATAAACTAGACTCCTAATTCATTCAATGGATACAAATCGGCTTTATTATTTCATGTGCAAGTCCCACATCATCTAATATAAGGTGTTTGATACTGTATTTATATAATTGTTTTTCTTTCTAGGATAACTAGCCATTGAGGATTTGGGTTCCCCAAACGGTTGCCCGCTGAGAGAAGGGTTGCGTCTATTTATTGTTTGGTTCTCCCTCCTCAATGGCTAGTTTTTTTTTTTCTTCCACTTTCAGCTACATTATTTGCAAAGCTTCCTTTGTAGTCTATAGTTTCTCTTCACTTTTTGGTAATCCTTGTTTGGTTCTCCCTGCTCAGTGGCTAGTTTTTTTCTTTTTTTTCCTTCCACTTTCAGCTACATTATTTTCAAAGCTTTCTATGTACTATATAGTTTCTCTTCACTTTTTGGTAATCCTTTCATGTACAATTGTCTCTTCACTTACAAAAGACAACTGATTTGTTTTGAAGAATGGTATCATATAGAAGAGTTGCTAATATCCTTTTCCATGCTGATGGATGTTGTCCCATAGATCAATGGCATGAATAGACATTTTATTATGAGCTTTCTATCTAACTTAGAGGGCTGGAAATCAGATTTGTTCGGATAGAAATTTCTTCGTTAACCAAAAAATAACTTAAAGATTTGATAAGCACTGCCTGCAGCATCTTGTTTTAATTTTGAACAACAAAATTGCATTTCATTTTCAGATTTTCTTAGAATATACAAGACCCTCCTATTGAATGAGAAATTAGTGTCCTAATTCATTCGATAGATACAAATCTGTATTATTATGAAATGTGCAAGTCCCACATCATCTAATTTAGGGTGTTTGACAGTGTATTTATATAATTGTTTTTCCATCTAAGATAACTAGCCACTGAGGATTTGGGTTCCCCAAACGGTTGCCTGCTGAGAGGAGGGTTGGGTTGTTCTATTTATTGTTTGGTTCTCCCTCATCAGTGGCTAGTTTTTTATTTTTTTTTTCTTTCATTTTCAGCTACATTATTTTCAATGCTTCCGTTGTAATCTATAGTATCTCTTCACTTTTTGGTAATCATTTCACATACAGTTGTCTCTTCACTTACAAAAGACATATAATCCTGATTTGTTTTAAAGAATTGTGTCATATACAAGTTGCTAATATCCTTTTCCATGCTGATGAATGTCTTCCCATAGATCTCTTTCACTTCCAGCTACATTGTTTTCAAAGCTTCCTTTGTAATCTTTAGTATATTGTCACTTTTTGGTAATCCTTTCATCCTGATTTGTTTTGTTTTGTTTTGAAGAATGGTGTCATATAGAGAAGTTGCTAATATCCTTTTCCATGCTGATGAATCTCTTCCCATAGATCATAGGCATGAATAGACTTTTTATGAGCTTTCTATCTAACTTAGATTCAATGATATCGGTCCGGAATTTATGATTTATTCCATGGTGTAAAAGATCCTTCAAATTACTGAGCAAGTACATGTACACATTTTGTATTTTACCATCAGGGCTGGAAATCAGATTTGGTCTCCTAGCCATTTCTTCATTAAGGAAAAACTAACTCAAAGCTCTGATAAGCACTGGCCGGGACTGGCCGTAGCATGTTGTTTTAATTTAAAGCTATAAAATTGCATTTCATTTTAGGATTTTCTTAGAATATACAAGACCATCCTATTGAATGAGAAACTAGTCTCCCAATTCATTCCTTAGATACAAAGCTGTATTATTTAGAAACGTGCAAGTACCACATCATCTAATATAAGGTAATTGATAGTGTATTATTGGAAGCACAATAATCAAGTAATTATTTATTTTTTATTAGTCTTGTTAATGATTTATTTTCCACTCACATCATGTTGTAAATGTTTATTCATTATTTATTTGCTATTTGAAAGGGAGACACGTCGAAGAAATGACTTACAATCATAATTTGATGATGAGCTATCAAATTTTGGGGAGCAGCCCAATGTAGAGCTTGGAAGTAGGTTTCTTTTTTTCTTTTTTTTGCTTACTGTTTATGATAAAATCATTGATCACTCACGTCATATTGCGATGTTTATTCATTATTTACTTATTTTTTTCGAAGGGGATACAACTCATATAAGTGATGGTAATGGCTCACATAATGATGAGAAGAGGAGGTCAGCCAACCACACGATTCCAAAGAGGATGGTGGTGACCCATAAATCATTGAGGATGGTAATGACTTACTTCAGCCGAATCTAGGGGTTGGAGGCAAACACACATATATTGACCACTCTCATCATGTTAATGATTATTTATTTGTTTTTTATTTTAGAGGGTAATTTAGTGACTGACTTACATAATACGTCAAACAATGAGGAGAGGTCAGTCAACCACATGACCCCGAGGAGGATGGTGGTGATCTACCAATCATTGAGAAAGATATAAAGTATAGAAAAGGTTAAAAAAATTATGTTTTTAATTTTTTTAACTAAAATTCAAATTTTTGTTTCTTACCAGTTACGTATTACCGTGATTGGGACAACAGGTTCACAAGTGGCTAGAGAGCTGAGTGGTTTGCATATATCTCCTCCTTCCACTGAAAGGAGACGAAAACCGCCAAAGAGATTTGGTGATTGGATTGAAGGTAATTATAGTAACTCTTTTATCCTTGTCATTGACTTTTTTTTCTTTCTATGTTTTAACTTATCGTTCTCTTGCTCAGTTAGTATATTTATCATGCTTTAAGTTATTCTTACTCGGTTGTCACATTAGATAACTCATATTGTAATTAATTTATTTTAATTTTTCTTAAATGTTATTTTGGAGCATAAAGGAAAGACATGAAAAGCATGAGATAGATGGTAATGAATTTTATTATATACTTATTAGATTTAATATTTATATGGTTTTATATTGCTTTTAAGTTTTATCACAAACCAGATTTGATATTTATAATAACTTTTATATACTAAGGTTTTCATAAAAAAAGGTTATAAAACGTTTAATTTCTTGATTGTTGGATACGTATCCATAATTCATGGATCTACTAGCACCATGACAATAGTTAGATTTAATAGCTTCCTCCAGTCTACAAATATCTATTGAATTTAGTAATTCTTAATAATTTTAAATTTATTACATAAGGTAAATGAAATTAAATGCACAAAACATGTACACTATCTGCCTGAGAGATGCTACTAATTATAGTATTTGGCATGGTTGGAGAGTTATTATTAACAAATATGAAACAAAATTGGGTTAATATACATAGTGGCGTGGTACGAGAAAAGTAGAAGGCAATACCACGAAGGAAGACTAAAATAGAGATGTTTTTTTAGTGGGGTTGGGTTACCTTTCGAAGGTAAAGTCTTGGAAGAAAAAAAAAAAAAAGTTCTTTGCTTGTTTAAATTAATTCAAAATTTTATATTTCAGTTTAACTCTTCGATAAAATCTTATTTTGTTTAATACAAGAAAATATTCAAACTTAATTAGATGTTTTATGTTTAATTTATTAGTTTTTTAGGAAATTGGGGATACAAGTATGTGTATTCAGAAATGAGATTATATGTTATAGTTATGGCATTTGGGAAAGTTGCAGAGAGCTCGGAGCGAGGAATCAAAAGCGCAAAGCATTGTGAAGGTGGTGTCGCTTGCTTTTTCCGCCTTGGAGGGTGATACAGGGTTCTGGATTTTACATTCCGATGTTGTCGAAATGAATTTGACGTTTTCGGAATATTAAATTATTTTAGGAATCGGAATTAAAATTCTGGAAGATAGATAGAAATTTTGTAAGGTCTCATTCCAGAAACTTTATTTCATAACTTTAAATTGACAATTTGAAAGTGATTCCGGGAAATTCCCGGAATATTATTTAAATTTTTGCATTTTGGAATTATGTTTTATTTATATTTTTGCATTTTGGAATTATGTTTTCAGAAGCTAAAAAAAAAACGTTTGGAATTATAATCTTTGGCTTATTATGGTTATTTCATATTTGGGATCAGTTAAACTCGCAATATTCATCTATTTTTTTGTATGTTACAAGGTACATTCATTTTATTTTTTTTTTCGTATCTTAACCACCCTTACTTCTGGGGTTCAAGGCCCATGAGTCTTTGCTTTGGAACTTTGCGTACCCATGATCAATCCATTGGCACCTGGGGCACCTAGCTTGGCTCATCTTGAATGTTCTAAGATGCTTGTTACTGTTGCTGGGAAGGATCGCATGAGGGATAGAACAGTGTTGTAACTTCAACTACGGATGATCGTAGCTGCAGAAGATGAGAGGTCTTTGTATATATTATCACACATTTATTATGCAATAAATATAAATTTGATTGGAAAAGATTGAGAGTTTATTTAACAGATTCACTCTTAATTTAAAATCTTTATTTCAGAATATTTATTTATTTATATAATGTTTATAATTTTCTTTAAATATTTATATATTATTTCTTTTTTAATAAAAAATGATTTCACAATTATTGTTTACTATCAACGTAATATTTATATATTATTTCTTTTTTCAACGTATTATTCTGTGGCGTATTAGTGACACGAAAATAAAATAGAATAAACAAGACGTATTAGTGAAAAGTTTCAAAGCATAGTGTATTATACCTCTTCTAAGTTAATCTGAATAATTATAATTTTAAAATATTTTTTCTTTACATGGTTTCATATTCAGAGGAATTCATTAAAAAACAACAGAGATGTAAGAATGCTAAAACAAGACATAAAAAGGACGGTATGATAATATTTCTCTTACTACCGATATTATCAGAAATATTTCTCCTACAATCAAATATATTAATATTAATATTATCGATTTTGTCAAGAACATTTTTCTTATAACCAAATATATTATTATAATATTATTATTTATTATTATATTATAAGTTAATAATATTATATAACTATTTTTTAATTGTTGATTAAAGATACAGATTAATAATATTTTTTATTGCTATATTATTATTTGTAATGTTTTATTGGCGTGAATATCACCATTCAAAAAGATACTTTATAAATAAGAAACCTTTGACCTATGTAAATATACCTTTAAATAAGCTTCAAAAGACTTGGGCCGAGACTTTCAAAATGACTACAACATAAAAATCACTAAGTAAAAATGTAAAGAATTACAACAATTTTTACAAGCGATATTAATTTCCCCAAAGCCTACCTGAGACTATTACTATTCCCAATTTTAACTATTTTTCACGTAAATGATAACTTTATCCACAAAAATGCAATCGTTTGGAGGAAAATGTAAATAAGACTCTCATTGTGTCCACCAAGCATGCATGATACTCACTAGTTACTTCATCCCGTACAGTCCTTTAAAGGAAATGGCAGTTCATTTTTGCCACAAAAGTTCAGAAGAAACTATCTTAAAATAATGCAACTCATTGAAATTGTTTTCAATGGCAATGAAAGAGACTAGCTTAACCAAAGCTTGACAAGTTAATACATCCATAACTCATGTTTGATTGACTCGGACATACAAACCGTCAAAAGCAGAAGACAACTACCTATCTCATGTACTCGTGCAAAGAATGACTAGCAGTCTACTCTAATCATGAAAAAATTACAAAAAGACTTCGGCCGATTGGCCGGCCCATTCCAGGTGAAATACACTGTTGGGAGTAACTTGAGGGGATTCTTTTTCCTCTATGGTGCCCAAGAAAAAAGCAGTTCAATCTTTCCTTTATTTGTCTTCAAAAGGAACCATAGACTTTTCCAACAAGACCTTTCATCCGCCCACGGAAAAACTCACCGGAAGTTCTGATACATTCACACAAAAGCTTTAGATTTGACTATTTAATCTGACAACACATTCAACTTTCATGTCACGTTTTGATTGGTCAAATTAGTTTTAGTACATCACTATATTATAAAAAGATTCTCCTAGACCATCATAAAGCAGGAAAGATATTTAGAGGATTTTGGTTCTCCACTGATTTGTGAGTGGATTTTCATTTGGATATGGGTGCCTTTTATTCTATATAGTATTGTTGCTTGATTGCATGCATAGAGTCAATTTATACAAGCAGCGACTGAAAAAAAAGTAATTGAGTATTTAAATGACGCATTTGCGACTTTAACTGATGTATTTGCATTTTGCAATTAATTTACAACACAATTCCATGTATTGGCAATTAACCATCAGCACATTACAGACAACTATCTAATTGTCATATATACACGAGATGCTTGGGCAACCTATATTACTCTCAGAAACACAACAATTGTAATGCCAAATCAATTGAGAAAGAGATCACTATCAAATCATAACCATCACAATATTGCACGAGAAAAAACAATGTTCGTGAAGGTCATTTGCTACATCTATGATATGACAATGACGTTACGGCTAGAAGGTACTTACACTGCATCAGAAAAGAACGTAAACGACCAGATGTTAGGTATTTTTTTAAGCCATGCTGCACTCAGTCCAGGAGACTTCCTTCGCAGGTTCAACTAACATCGATCACATTATGTACATTGAAACTGGTTAGATGTCAATAATAGAACAGTAAATACTAAGGCTGGTTGTTGGAATTGGCCTTTGTAAGAGCTTTAACAAAGTAATTCTGGATCTCCGGTATTATTCGCTGAATCAGATGGGAATGTCTGCAAATAGTTGGTAAAAATTTAAGAAAGATTAGGCAGACATAAAACCATGGTAATGTCAAAGTCAAATTCATTCATCATGTTTGTGATTTATTCCTGCTAAAAATTTATTCATTCAAATTAATTCAAAAATTAAAACCAAAGGTAGGTATCTACAATGTAACAGAAGAATACAGCAACTTGATATGCAGAAAAGAGAGACTAGCAACATATTGAACAAAAATCTCAACCCGCCCTCATCGAAAAAGAAAAAAAGTAGTACACAGCTTTTCATATTTTAATAACCACATAAAATTTCAATTTCATTTTCCATCTAAATACTAACAAAAATAACACAAAAACATGCTTTCTAAATGAAATATAGCTTTGTTCTAAAAGAGAAAGAGACATGAAATGAAGAGAAGAACTAATTATTTACTGGAGGCCATATTTTTATTTAGTCGAGCAAAAGAATTTTCCAAACTTTCAATATCTGAATTCCTTTTAGGTTGACACATGCTTGTACAGATTGCAGGAAAAGAGAAAATATGTACTAGAAGCAAACACAGGATTAATGATCTGATACATACCCTGGCTTTGCACTCAATTTATCGAAGTGTTCCAAGATAAAAAGGATGCATGTGTGCCTCAACGATGTAGCATTAAATGCTTCTGAAAGTTCATACATACTTGCTACGTTCTCAAGTGATATATCCTGGGACCAACACATCAAATCAGAGGAACCCACTTTAAAGTCTAATGGTAGAGCACGAGGACAAGTGTCAAGACTGCATATTTAAATGTGTGTGAACAAAAGTTCTCTTAGCTGACCTGTGCAATCGTGTACTCGCAGAGTCTCTTAAGTCCTTCTAAAAGATATTGATCAGCCGCTCGGAGGAGATCTTGAGCAATATCAAGAGTGATCTCAACTGATCCAGTGTATATAAATCTAGAGAAAAGATTAAAAACAAAGAGATTAAAGTTGTCCACAAATTATTAGAAGATTTCATAGCACAACTTTCATGAAGCACATGAATACAGAATTTATTTGACCTCATCATCAGCTCAAAAACCTCCCATCTAATGTTCGGAATCTCTATGTCCCGTGCCTCCTTCTCCTGTCATACAATAATAGACTGGCATATCACAGACATGAATTATTGCAAGACATAATTGCATCTGTCAAATTACGTAGCTGAGAGTTGTATTGAATGACAAGATTAAAAAATAAGAGATTAAATACAAATATCCTAATTGCCTAGTTACCATGATTATGTAAATCCTAGAATAGGCACAAGATACCACATCTAAAATATCCAACAGCTATATTTAAAAAACAAAAGCGCAGATGATAAATGATGTTTCTCAAGAAATCGTGGAGCCAATAACATTTTTCTTTTTGTGGCTGATAGTCAATTAACAGTGATCCACTAAAGATCAATATATACTCACCCTATATCCACCATCAAACATAGCACGAAATGCATCAGAAGATGCAAGCAGACATATTCTGTGAGCATAAAATCGTTTCCCTGCAGCAAAGGACGAAAATACCAGGTTATCTACAAATGTCAACAAAGCTACAACAACAATGCATTCGTCGTGCATTGTTTTCCAAGCAGAGGTTTAAGAAACCAATGTGAATGAAAAAGCATCAAAACCTTCAACCAAAAATATAACATCGGACAAGGTAGCATTGTTTACATACTGCTCTCCCAAATAGACCTGCAAGAAGAAAAGTGTAACATCACAAATATTCAAACTTCTAAAAATATTTATGACTCCATCATAATTATCTAGAGAAGACAGAAAAAATAGCTGCTCATGAGTGGATCAGGCTTCTTAGGTATATGCAAGTTGCAGACGTAATATTTGAAGACATAGGTCCTAGTACAGATTATTGGATCCACAGAAACAGATACTAACTAATTAAACAGACCATATACTTATATTTATAACTAGACATCATACCCAATATACAAATCAATTTTAAACACCAAGATATGGTAGTTAAATCATGAAACAGAAGGCCAATTTTTCGAAGAGAATTGTTAGATTCA